CTCCTCCAGCAGAACTTAGTGTTTGAGGGAAAGCGATACAACAAACCAGAACTATAAGGTAGCCGATTTCCATTGTCTTTGCAGACAGTTCTGCCACTTTATAGAGGGGTAAAACATTTGTGATTGTCCAGCAACTTCTGTTTGCGGCTGTAGTTTTAGGAGACCTGGTACCAGTTCTAAAATGCCGCGGACCCATCATGCAAAGCACTAAATCAGGCCGCTTAAGTTGTGTTCAAACTTTGTGCCCATTGCTCATGTTTATCTGCTCAGGTTTATGCTGGGTCAGCTCTCTCCTGTCCTCTCAAAGCAGCTGCACAAATCAATATGGAAAGTCTAAAGTATTTTGGCTGACATCTTTGTATGGTGGGCCTGGCTCAGTTGATAGAAATTTGAGATCCAGTTGGAACTTGGAAAGACCCTCGTGGTTTTAGAAAGGTTTTGTTTTGAGTTTGGCAAATAAGGAAATATATAGAGCTGCTTCCCTCTTAAAGCTTCTGGGAAAAAACCTCTGTATCATTCTTACACTTTGTAAAAACAGTACTTTTCAGAGTTGAAAGTCATCATGACAGTCACGGGGGAACCTGAGGTCCAGACTGAGCTTCTTCCAAAGGGTTGACCTGTCGGTCTGCTTACTGCAAATGTGGGGTAGTGAGATTTATACTATTGACAATATATCCTGAACACAGTATTGCTTCCTAGTTCTGGTGCTGCCAGTCTGGCAGCACCTGACAAATTGTTGACTTTTCTAATGGATGTTTAAAAAAAAAAAAAAAAAACCCCAAACAAACAGAAGAGCCCCGGCAACCTATTGCCCCAAGCATGTTGTAGTCCGGAGGTCAGATTGTTTTTGTTTTCCCCAATCTTTGCTTTGCCAAGCTCTGGATTCAAATGTTAAAGGCCCTCAAACATAGCACTGTAGGGACAAATGCTATCGCAACAAATCTGTTTGGGTGTTTGGGTTTTTTTGTAATTTGTCTTTTGTAGTTACTACTGAGTATTCTCAGACTAATACGAAAAAGCAGGGAACATTTTTAGTGTGATTCAGCCAAAAACTATATTAAATGATGCTGCTTTTAAAGAAAACAACGCATGCAAGGGAGAAGACATATTTTGTATATATTTTGTATATATTACAGTTGCCTACTCCTTTGATGGGGTTCATGGTCCATTTTTCCTTTCCATGTTACTAAGCTCTTTATGTGTATCTGTATCTTCTGTCCTGCCCAAGTTAACTCTTGAAAATCTAGTAAGAGATGAGTTTTCAAATTATTTTTTAGATGGACTTGCATGCAGTTTGGTACCTTGTGAAACAGAAGCTTTTTGTGCAGCCTGTCTTGGCATATGGGCAGATTTCTGTGTAGGAAAACCTTTGTTGTATACTTCAGTGAATGTTTTTATTTGTGGTAGACGTTCCAGAGTAATGACTTGCAGGCAGAAACTGCAGGAAGAAAAAGAAAAGTACATTTAATTACAGTCTTGCATTGTACATCTCCATCTCTGATGTTGGGGTTTTTTTCTTTTTTTCTTTCAGTGAACTTTGAAATGCATTGTAATTTGTTTAAACAAAATAGGAGCTCCCTTGGTAAAATAGAAAATGTGGTATTAGTAGTCATGAAATGTGAAGTGTAAGAACTGCCATCTTGTTTCAAACCAGACACTCCCATAGCTTTGTGTCCTGTCCCAATGGTACCAAATCTGGAAAAAGGTTTGTGTGTCAGAGAAAAGGCAAGCATGTCAAAGATGCAGAGTGGCCTTGCCCCAGCTAGGAGGGTTTTCCTCTTGTGAACTTGCACCTGGACTACACCCTGCAGTAAGCTATTTGTCTGGATACTAATCTTATCTAATGCATTGTAAACCCATGTCAGCTTTTGGCCTTCCTGGGTTAATCATGTATGAGCACTGAAGATAATTTGGTATAGAAAGAGAAGAATGTTAATCAATATCCTGGTAGAAGTTTCACTTGAAGCCTTTCCATTTGATCCAATGCGGCAGATAATTCATTGTACTGTGTGTACTTAGCTGATGTTGAATGAGTTTTATCTCTTTTTACATGACTTTTCAGCTTCTGATCAGTTAGATTTGTTACAGAGGGCTGTAAAATGTCTGAGTCATCTTGGTTAGGTATGCTCAGTTGGTGGGATAAGAGGTCTGATAAAGAAGAATGTATCTTTCTGATAACCTGATCTCCTGCTGCCTAAAGATTTCTCTTTCAATTTGACACTTCTGATTGCAGAATAAAAGTATTCTGAAAATCTCTGATTATCATCTGTGCCGTAAGTGCAAGTCTGATTGCTGACTAGAAGCAAGAAGGGTTTGGAAGTTTGTTCTCGTTTTCCTTGGACCGCCCCCCGACACACGTACCTGTAGTGTTTGTGTGCATGTATATGTGTGTACACAAACGCACACTCCCTCTCTCTAGGAAAAGTCACAGACGAGGCTGGTTTTGCCTGTTAATTTGGAGTTGCTTGTTCATCATCACCTGGGAACCCTCATCCAAACACTGTCGTTCTAGCTATTGTGTTTCAGCTCTCAAGAATTAATACAAGGCACAGCTTATTTGCATGCTCTCCTGATGCAGTTCTCTATAACAATTCCTGAGGAATGATCACATCTTCTTTGAGAAGATAGCAGTCTTACTGTTTTGCAGTGCAAGGTAAAATAGGATTATATGGTCTTTTCTTTTGCATCAGTGGAGGTGCTAGTTAATGCTAACTAAGAAGCTTATCTTGCAGGAATACCTTAAACCAGATCTCCTGAATGGCAGGCTTCCTGCTGGTGTAACTCTTAGACTAGTGTTTTATCGGCATGGCTGCATTTGTTAGGGAGGTGTAATTCTGCCCTTTTCCTTTCCAATCTGAGATGATAAAGCTGCCAGAGTAAACTACGCCTGTCTCCATCACTGATTTTTCTTGGAGAATAAAATATGTCTACATTGACAGAAAAAGGCAAATTCTTTCCTTTTTTTTCTTTTTTTTTCTGTGTGCTTAAAAAAAGTCCCTCGTGCCTCTACAGTAATAGCAAACAAAACCCCTCAAAAAAAACCCCAAACCCACCCCAGACTCCCCTACTGCCCCCCAGACCTTTAACTAACATCTGTCTCTTCCTCCTCTCCTCTCTAACCTGGTCACAGCACCTCTCTGACCTGCACAGGCAGCTTTGAGAGGAGCGTTCCTATAAGCATTTGAGGAGTCATCGCCAGTTATCTGTGCACAAACTCAGAAGCGGACAAACTAATTTAAAGTTGCTGTTCGTGTCTGGAGATTTGCACTTTTGAAGGGGAAGTCTGTGGTTACTGTAAAAATGGGAATGCCTTTTTTCAGCACAGCATGATGGTGAGTACTCAAAGGAGTAGTTCTCCTTTAGTCTTAAGTTCAAGTGAGAAATAATTAATTATGCTATCTTAATATTTACTTTAAGAAACAAGTCTTAATTAAACCCTTATTTGAAGGCACTACTTTCCGTTCCACTTAGGAGTGCTTCAAGGGTATCTCAGTGCCCAAATAATATTTCTTATGTATGTATATTTTCTCTCTTGAAAAGTTAGATCGCTTTGAAAGATTATTATCTGTTTCACCTGAAGTAACCAGAATTTTGTAGCAAATGGGCAATTAACAGCTATTAAGAGATTCTAAAATATTAGTACTCTGTAATTTTTCAAACAGTCCTAAATTGCCCCTAGCAGAAGAGTCTTTGTCAAGTTCCATTATTATTGCAATTACAGTAGACATTCAAGCTGCTGGCATTTTCCTGAGCAGCCTTTTGGAAAGGAGGCTTAAGAAAAAACCAAACCCTTCGGTTTTGCTTTCTAATAGATACCTAACTGTGTTTCTTGAATGTCCATTAGCTGCGTTTCCACCTCTAGCAATTAAGTTGAAAATGTCATTAACTTGCTTTTGAAGTAACGCCAGCGTACAGTGGGTTTTGCTGTTTGACTGTGTTCCTGGTTTTGCAGAAAATTTCACTTGATATGGTTTTGAAAAGACCTTTTTTCAGGTTCTATCACGTACTTTCATCTGTAGCTTGGCTTGCTTCATCTGCAGCTGTTTGCAGCTGCACTTTCTTTTTTGAAGCTCAGTAACCACAGGTTGCAAAACTTGGTTTGCTGCAGAATTTTCGGTGCTGTCTTGTGGGATGTTTAGGTTCAAATCTGTTAATTCATGTTCCTTAGTCTTGGAAATGGCAGAAGTGTGGATGACAGTGGACTGGCAGGTCTAATTTAAGGAACAAATGTGGAAAAACTATACTGTAGTGACCCATCAGGGAAAACAGAAGAGCCAGTAAGCTGTGCAATCTTTCCTGTTCCCGTGCCAAAATATTAGTGATACTAATTAAAATGCACATTTTTATTGTGAAGCGGTTGCTTCAACATCATCAGGCAGATTACTTTGAATGTCGATCGCCTAACTGGGATAATTTCAGCTAAGGGTGTTCAGCAGAAAGGGCTGCTTCTGTCTGTCTGAAATAGGCTCACTCAAAGTCAGGTGTGCTTCACTGTCTAGTCTAAGTTTTCTGGATGCTTTTTATTTAAAATAAGTCGTTTTAAAGGGAAGGAAGGAATTAGTTATACAGGGGTGAACTTGTGAGTAGGTCTACAAATTTACACTCTTTGAAGAAGCGCAAGTGTTGTTTGCAATGGATGTTCGATAGCAAGCTGTTCTACATTGCTGTGTAGCTGGAGTACAGGCACACTTTGTTCCCAAAAAGTTCTATGGAAATGACTGTGAAATTGAAACAAAACCAAGGTTTCAATATGTTACTAATAATTGAAGATCACAAGGGAAGAATGAGAGGATAGTCCAAGTATTCCTATCCTGAAAGAATTTAAAATACCATCAGCTTTGTCTTTAAATGGTAATCTGCTAATTATCAAAAAAAGAATAAGAGTTGGGGAATCATGAATGTGAAAAGGAACCAAGGCTGCGAGGCATGTGTGTTTGTACATATATCTTAGGTAATCAAGAAAAAATTAACTTATCTCTTCAATTCTAGGTGCCATTGATGCTAATGATACTTAAAAAAGCAACCCTAATGTCCCAGCTGAATTACTGAGCACTTTTGTGATTCCTGGACCTGCTTCTGTTTAAATAAGAAATTGTCCTTAGTACTTGGCCTCTCATCCCAGAAGCATCCGCTTGGGTGCTGTATGCAAGTCCTTGACATTCTGGAAACGATGGGGATTGGTAAGAATACCACTTCGAAATCGGTGGAGGCGGGAGGCTCAACAGAAGGCAAATACGAGGATGAATCTAAACATCCCACCTTTTTCACCCTGCCTGTAAGTAACACCTTCGGGTACTACATAGTCAAGCTCAGTGTGACTCAGTGAATAATGCTTTGTTCTAACCATGTTGTACAAAACCTTTATTTCCACAAGTAGTTAGGAAAACCTCTTTTGCCACTTACTACTGTTTATATATAAACACGGTCCGTTATGTTGTCTGTAGTTATTTCGCATCTGTGCTCCAAAGCCATGCTGTTCGCAGGACAGGCGATTCCCCAGGCAGTTCATGATTAGAACAATTAACTGTCCTACTGCAGAATGCACCAGCCCCCTGTATGTCCTGAGTTGCTTGACTAAGAGTAGCAGGCAACAGCAAGGAAACATTTGCTTGTTGTCTTTTACTTACTCAGGTTTTCAGTTGTATCATTCAGTTGTGCATGTCTGCCTCTTAAGAACTCTTTCAATCAGTGCTGCTTGTTTCCCCCCACCCTCAGGTGGGACTGCCCAGGCTTTGAGGAGCTGTATGCGATGTCTTTCAAGTTTCTGTATATTCCTAGACCTGCTGTTACAGAAATGATTGCTTGCCATGCTTGTAATGTTTTCTGACAAAACGTCAAAGGCAGATGTCAAATGCCAAGGGAGAAAACTGAGTGACATGAGGTATGATTGTAGAGAAAATCTTTCTTTTAAGACCTTGTGTTTCTCTTTTTCATTTTTAAGGTCGTGATAAATGGTGGAGCAACATCCAGCGGTGATCAGGATACAGAAGACACAGAGTTGATGGCCATCTATACTACAGAAAATGGCATAGCAGAAAAGGTATGTAGTGGTTTCCTTCTAGGTGAGAACTCATTATCGCTTTTTCGGTTCATTATTTGTCCGCAGTAATTTACTTGGCTGAGAGAGTTTCTTTCTCTAATCAAACATGCTGACTTGCAGATTCAGATCAGGCTCAGGGGAGTTCTGTCCTCATGACTCTTCTGGTCACACATTTTGGTTGCAGAATGCGAGGAATGACTCAGCAAATGTTAGAAGCAGTTCATGCACTTTGACCTGCCACTGAAATTCATAATAGACAATTTTTTTTATTTCTTCATTTCCTTCGGCCTTTTGCATGGTTTCCCTGATAAGGCCATTCTGTTCTTCAGTTCTTAACTTTTTCTGCGTTTAGTCAAGTAAGCTGGTGGTGTTGAGCACCCTCAAAAGTGGGATCTTTCCCACTCGTTCCCAATTTCTTCCAAGCTCCAACCTCATAAACTCAATTTTTCTAATCCTTCTTTCAAGTAAGGGGCTGCTTATTATTACTTAGGACAGCTTTGTGAACAAAGTTCAGGGGTTTCATAGAAACCTTTGAAAATTTTTCCTTAGGATAACAATAATTGTATCTTAGCTATTCAGAAAGACCCAGTTGAGGCCTCAGAGGAGACCAGTTTTGTTGTGATTTTTCCAGCTTTTTTCTCAACTCCATTCCTCAAGCCTGTTCAGTAGTAACCTTGCAAGAAGAGACAGTGTGTATCTAAGCTTTTGTTTAAAATAAGGAAGAAGATTACAGTAAATCTGAACAGTACCTTCTTCTGAAATGTTTATATCTAATTGGCTTCGTGGTTAAGCCTTATCTCTGAAAAGCCACGATTTGACCAAATTTTTCAAATGTCCTAATTGAAACAAGAACAAAACTCTCTTGGTTCCAAGCAAGAGCATAGTGATTCTCATTTCTTTGGGGCCGTAACTTCTGTTGGAGCAAGAATGATACCAAAGGGTGTAGTTAAGGTTTTCTAACCTGGACATCAAAATTCACTTCTGAATTTTAAAATGTATCCTAACCAGGTGATTCTGAGAGGTCTTTTAGTGTTACATTTTAAAAGAATGTTATGAATGCTGCGATGTGCCTTCCTATAGTCTGTCTCTTACAGAGGCAAGGATGATACCAAAGGGTGTAGTTAAGGTTTTCTAACCTGGACATCAAAATTCACTTCTGAATTTTAAAATGTATCCTAACCAGGGTTCTGAGAGAGGTCTTTTAGTGTTACATTTTAAAAGAATGTTACGAATGCTGCGATGTGCCTTCCTATAGTCTGTCTCTTACAGATAGTCTGCCTGTATGTCTCAGATACATCTCTACTACCATCTTGACCGTGCTGATATTTTAATGGACAAATTTTGGCAACCGTTGACATGCATATGTGTCTGTGATGGCTGATTCTTGGAGCATGCTCAAACCGGCACGGAAAGAGACAATCTGATAAAAGCCTTGAGCAAAAGGTGTTGGGATGAAATTGTGCAACTAAGATTAGCAATCTCTAGACATTAAAGCATGTCTTCATGTTTTTACCAAACGTGTGTTTTTCTCCCTTCCACTTGATCCATGTGATCAGAACTGTAAATGCTGGATCATAATTCACCTTAAAGAGACCATGAGCTTTTAATCAACCAAGTCTGCTTGGGTTACGGCTTTGCTGTCGCTTAGGATGAATGAACAGTGAAAGGAGGGGCTGTAGCAATTAACAGCCTCATGGGTTAAGATAGTATTTCTGGTAATCTAGGCAAACCTTCTGCTTTTCACTTAAAATAAGCGTGTGCATGAAGCATGTTTGTTCTTGGCTTTCCATGCCTCTTGAGAGACGATTCACCAAAAAAGGAAACGAAAGACCTTGAATAAAAAGCCTTTAAAAAAGAGGACTGAAGTGTACTTAATTGCTGGAGGATGCCCAGTGCTTACGTTGTCTTGCAATATTTGTTAGCTGAAACAATAAACTATTAGCCCAGATGAGAAATAACTGTATTGCTGCATCCCTATAAAATAAACAATACTATGTTGCTTATTGCTTAATGGAATTAACCTGAACATGTTGTCGGCTCTTTATTTAAGGTATTTCTCTAAAGGCCTTATTCCCTGCAGTTAATCATTTTTTTGGTCCTTCCCACTAGTACTTGCTGATAACAGAGCCTTCATCTTGCACTGTTGTCAGTGTTTGCTGCTTTGGATTTTGGGCTGGGTTTGGTTTCCCTGCTCCCCTCCACCACATTTTTGCTCCACCTTTACCTCTGTCTCTTTTTTTTTTTTTTTTTTTTTCCCCCTGTTTTTATGTTTTCTGTGTTTTTTTTTTTTTTTTTTTGCCCCCTGTTTATATGTATTCTGTGCTTTTTGTCATTTTCGTGTTGTCCCACCTTTGGCCAATTAAAAATAATTAAAAAAGAGTTAGTCTCTGATCAGTATCTCATTTGAAAAGGTGCAGTTCATTGCCTGCAGCGTACTATGGCATACTTGGCAAGCACCAGCACACAGTCAGTATATTAAACCAGCAGGCACATGCTCGAGATCTGAAAAGGCCAGTGACTACCCGGTGACTGATCAGCAGGATAGCTGGACCTCGCCCTAGTTTTCAAATTCCTCATTGTTCGGTCTTGGTCTCTTTGATGTTGGTTCCCTTTAGCCATTATCTGCTAAAGGTTTGATGAAGGTGAAAGCTTCCTCTTCCAAAGCAGAGTAAGTCTGGCTTTTGGAAGGAATGAGGAATATCCCAGGTTTTTTTTTTTCTGACCACTTTGCTGTGTAGGACAGACATTACTATGACAATTATACCTTCAAGTTTGAAATTCTTTTGTTGGAACACCTATAAACTTCACTTTCTAAAGGAGAGCTTAAATCAGTTAGCAGTTGTCGATCTGTGCCCAAAGAGAGCTTTCTGCATGCCATAGACGAGTTGACTTGTTCCTAGGCCTGGTGCCTGCTAATCTTTTTGTTCTTTGCAGCCAAGTGTAGGCATAAATGTAATCACAAATTAAAAGTTCTCAAAGGACTAATAAACTTCCTGCATGTGCCATGGTCTTCCTGGTAGAGACAGGTCATCATTTCTGGTTTCTGCTGCCCCAAGATGAGGGGAGCATAATAAATATAATATAATAGCAGGTAGAAAAGTTAGGGAATGAACCTGATGCAACCTCATCAGTCAGTCCTATGAAGAAAAATTAGCGTGTGGCACTAAGTGGAACAGTTAGGTAGCTACTGGATATTGGTCTGGCAAAGTTAGAAAAACTAGAAAAGAGGCCAAAAAAAAGATGGGTTTTCAAAAGGCAGGGGCCAAAACAGAGCCACCAGTCTGCACAAATCACTTACTGGATTTTTAGAGAATCTAGTATCCTGCGTGGGAACATCATGAACTTTGAAAATCCCATTTCTGTTCGTCCTTGGAAGGAGTAATGCAGGTTGCTCAGTGCCCGGCAGTAGGTGAGGTGATGCATCTTCTCACGTTGCAGTCAGGTGGGGAACTATCCATCATTTGTTCTCCTAAATCTGTGCTACTGTTTGGGTAGCTTCAGCAACCTAATGTTGACATGACTCATGAAGCAAACAGTTCATCTCTACTGATACCTCTCTGTTCCTACCCCACGGGCAGATGTTGTAACCATTCTTACTCTTCCTTCATGACCTCTGTGTCTCTGTAAGTGTATGATGACATCTTAGTCAAAATGTTGAATAAACAGGCAGTATCACTGGTGAGCAAAGTTCTCAGGTGGAGCGTATGTTGCATTGAAATTGAGGGGAGGTGAGGCAATCATACATACACTTTTTTTTTAAATATATATATGTGTGTGTATAATCTCTGGGGAAAGGTTAATAAAACTGCTTCATAACAACAGAAAGCATCACAGGAGCTTCTCTGGGTGAATCTTTGTTTTCCTGAGCAGGTTCTTAGAAGAAGCCTCTGGTGATGATAAATGTCCTGCTGTTTGTCCATAACTACGTTGGCTGTTGAGTCTTCCTCCTTCCGCCTGTCTTTGTGGGTCAGCCACTTTGTGGCCTGCCTTGGATCTACACATAATTGCATTGACATGAGGATGCACGCGGTTTTTCCTAAGTTCCAGTTAGAGGCAAGGCGTGTATAGGTTTACTGCTGCTCAGTGCTCTCCCTTCGGTGTGAGGTGAAGCTCTAAAACTCAAGTTCCTGATTTTTTTGTCATTTTTTAGAGAATGAGGTCAGGAGAGCAGTCTTCCTTTTTTCAGTCAGTGACAAAATGACATTGGTGCTGCAAATTGGCAAGATGAGTTGTGCAGTGAACAATTTCCCTTATTCCTCTGTTTAGGACCTGTACCTTGTTTAAACTAACCCTGGTGAGCAGATTGGTCGGTGCTTAACGTTGTTTAAAACAGTTTTCTGAAATTAGTGTTTCTGTATTTTGCTTTTCCACTGTAATGCCCTCAACCTTTCCATAGCAGTGTGGTCATTTACACTCCCTGAATTTGAATTAACCCAATGACATGTGTTTTCCCAACAGAAATCAGAGGTAAGAGGGAATTACCATGGGTCAGTTTGGCTTCCCTGACCTTGCAGATGATAAACCAAAGGGGATTATCTAAGCATAATCTGTGGATGTGCTGTGATTTTTGAAGAAGTAGAGACCGTTTGAGGCAAAGTCACAAGTCTGGCAAAGTTCCCAGTCTTTGTGTAAGGCTACTTCACATGAGTTTGTTATGTTCTAGTGTGGATTAGGTCAGAACAGTAGTTATATAAGGTATTTTTTGTTAGTTGAGCTGAAATGATAAAATCTGATACTTCCTCCTGCTTTTGTTGTTGGTATTTGGGCTTTGGAGCATTGTGGTTTTGTTCTCAGGAATTTCAAAACCAGAGAGGCTGAACCGAAAGGATTCCACTTAGTTGTAAAGAAGAAATGATTGAGCTGAAACTTGTTGTAATGGAAAATCTGCAGGGATTTTGATGCGTGTATGTGTGTGGTCAGTTGTCTGTTAGCTCTCCGCGAATTAGGGCACATGGTAGGCCAGAACGTAGTCTTGCTTAAATTCCTGTAGGTTTGGAGGAAGTCCATTTGACTGATACAAATTGGCCGTGGATGTATTCAGTTATAATGATTAGTATTTTTATTGACTGCTTGAATGTGGGCTGGAAGCAAAAATAATAAATCTTGTGGCTAAAAAAGGTTAACCAAGACTGAAATTGAGTAAGAATTAACTGGGAAGTAATTACTATAATGAGGAACTTTCTTGCCTGTGATCTTGGTCTCCTACGCAAGGATAGCCATTCTGCTTTGAAAATAGCCATTGTTGACTCTTCTACTTAGTCCTGATTCTTCCTTTTTTCTTTTTTTTCTTTTTTTTTTTTTTTTTCTGTTTTTAAATAAATAGTTCTGTTGTGATAATCCCATTTTTTGGGCACCTTTGGCTGTCAGATTGGTTATACCATAAATGAACAATTGTTGCGTTAGTATAAATAAGCAGGGAATGGCTTATAGAAGTGAGTATGTTCAGAAGTTCAGCAGCTACAGCTGGAGATGAGCTCGTCATCAGAGGCTTTAAAAATGTAACACATCAACATTACTTGGGAGTATTATACTGGCCTTGGAGTATCTGGGAATTGCCTGATAGTTCAAATTCAGTTTATTTATATGTAACAGTAACCTACTGTTGGCCTTTGTGTCCTCCCCCCTTTTCTGCCCTCCCTATCAAAATAGAGCTCTTTGGCAGAGACGCTGGACAGCAGTGGCAGTTTAGACGCACAGAGAACTGACATGATTTACACTATCGAAGACGTTCCTCCTTGGTATCTCTGCATATTTTTGGGGTTACAGGTATGTTTCAAAACCAGCTATAGTATTTCACTGTAACTTTTAAAGCTTGTTTAGCATTTTCTGTGTAATTCATTGCATTTGTGCGTGTGATAATTTTACTCTTCCCACACTCTCACGTGTTTGAAGAAAGTGTTAAGATAGATTCTTCTGAAGTTGATCACAAAGATTGCTGTGTTGATAATGATCTATATTAGTGTTTGCTGGCTTATGCATTTGTGAGATTCACTTAAATATTTAGTCTTCTAAGCTGCTGCTAGTAAATAAGTGAGCAAATGCTGAGTGGTGGTAAGCTTCAGAAAGTGACATTTGGCACCTCTGGAATTAAAGATGGAGAGAGATCATAGATGATGGTTTAGTCCTGAAAACATGAATATTAAAGCTGCTACTGTAGTCGTTTCAATTCTGCAAGCTTGACAGCAACATTCTGGACCTGTAGGCCCACTAACAAGCGGGGCAGGCAAATTCTGCACTCCCTGGAGTGAGAGCGTGTGCTTCCTGCTGTGAGTAGGACTGTAGTGATGGGCTGGACCCTGCTACCAGCTCAGCCACTCACTTGTGTGAAGCGGAACAGCTCGCTTCATCTCCTTCCTCTCTCGAACGGTAATAATATGTGTCCCACAGGAATGCAGAGAATTTGTTAATATCTGTAAAGTATGCCGAGATCTCCAAACAAATACATTCCAAAGCATCCTTTTTATTTCTGCCTTTCCTCAAGGACAGGCAGTTCTGTAGGGATTATATTTTTACTTGCATTGTTGAATATGGAGGCTCTCATTTGTTTGTTTGCTTAACGTATTTGGATTGAAAAAAGAATTAATGAGTACCTAGTTTCTGGTACTTGAAAGGTTATTTGCAGCTTAGTTTGTGTGTGCTGTAAGTTCATTTGTAAGCTAATGGTTTTTCACATGGTTGAAAGTGAATGGAGTTATTTATCTGCTTTTCTGAGTTAGAAGCTGTTTTCAGCACAGTTACCTAGATACCGCCTCATGAAGAACAGTAGCCATGTAAATAACCTAGTTTATCTTACAGAAATAGCGATCATTAGCAACAGGCTAGCGGTAGCTCGACATGGAAGGAAAATACTTGAAACGCTTAGGACCAGGAAGTGAGGGCTTTGGTGGATAATTCAAAAGCAAAATATCCAATGCAAAAGAAAAGAAGGTCATAAATTTGTTTACTTTATTAATATTGGCTGCGTTATTAACAAATCATTTTTCTTTTCACAGCATTACTTAACATGTTTCAGTGGAACTATAGCAGTGCCCTTTTTGCTAGCTGATGCCATGTGTGTTGGATTTGACCAGTGGGCTACCAGCCAGTTGATTGGGACCATATTCTTCTGCGTGGGCATCACTACATTGTTACAAACAACTTTTGGGTGCAGGTGAGGTTCGGGACTGTTTCTAGTTGTCTAGTCTTATCACCATCTCAACATCTGTTGGGATTTCCAGGATGCAGTCCGAGATCCAAGAGGGGAGGTAGTCTATTTTCAAAGGATAAACATGAAACACAAGATAGCAGGTCAAACACAGGACAGCTAGGGAAAGCTTTTGGAAAGCTGCTCCCAGAAAAAGGTGGATCTGAAATCAGAGAAGGCATTCCGAGGGTAAGAAAATACAGTAGGGGCAGGGAGAGGGAAAAAAGAGGAGGGAAATCCATGAGGACAGAGAAGGTAGAAGTGTTTCTGGGGGAAAGGAAAAATTCATACACCTTGGTAAAGAGGAACTAATTTTGATATTTTTATTAGTTTCTTAAATTATAGTATACTCTAGCCAATTTTTAGGTGGTTGTGATTAGTCCTACAGCAGACTGTGTGCTTGTTCCCATAAAGTGCTTGTCAATTTAAAAAGGTAGGGAAAAATGATGGGGGTAACTTTTTATTCTCTGAACTGAGTGTCTCTTGTACCTTTCAATACAAACAAATAATTTGGTTTTATTTGTTAGTTGCTCTGAGTTGCTTGAGTTGGGAACAGGGATGCCTGTACCTCTCCTTTGGTCTGCTCTCCTTAGGAGGATGCAATAGACCAATTCAGGTGTTAGCAAATACTTGTAAAAAATCTGGTGTTGCTAAGAATGGGATGTTGTAAGTTTTAACATGAAGATAAATCTTCTTTAAAAATGTGTGTTCTGCAGTAAACACCGCAGAGAGATGTTTGACATGTTTACTTAAACTTTTGTTGACTCTGCCTGTGAGAACCGGGAATAGCTAAAACCGGCAGTTATTTCTGACTCCTCTTGAATAAACCAAGAGTGATAAGTAAAACCAGAAGAGAAGTGCGTATTTTAAGAGTATGCCCTCATATGGATACTTGAATGATTCATGGGTCATTTAGTTCAATTTAAGAACAATGTGAGCTGCATTCCAATTGAAAATGGACAAATGCCCCCCAGATTTTTAAAGATTTATCTAAGAAATAGAATCTTTGGGTGGAAGAGTTATCTCAATAGGGTGCAGAAGGCAAGCCTGTGGTAGATCATTCGCAATTGTAGATCAGCTGTTCATCTAAAAATTTTGCAAATATTTTGGGTTTTCCAATGTAATCTTCAGTTGCTATTTTAGTTAGCTTTAGTTAGCTCTCCTGTCTTTTTTCCTTTGGAAAAAACCCTTCCTTTTATTTTTTTATTATGTCTTACTAAACTTACAAAATCACTCCATTGTTTTGTATGAAAAGTTCATTCTGAAGACAAAATAACATAATGAAAATTGTTGAAAGAGTACATTTTCTTTCCCCAAGGTGTTTTCTCTTAGTCAAGACTACCTGCAGTTAATAATCATATTTTCTGCCTGATTGGCTCTTTGTGCTCATAGGGTAGTTTGCCTTAGCTGTAACGATGAATTTTCAAGTACCTGGTCTGAAAGGAGGCAGAGGAGCAGAGTTGTGCCCTTTGGTGTTTTGAACCTCTCTTTTAATGGGAGTGATGTATTTTTTTTTTTCTCCCCCATCTTCTATTTGTGCTTTATATAGGGAATCGAGGGATTGTTGACCTAGGCGGGAACTGGAAGATAAGGTCTTTTATTGTTCAACTCTGAGTGTCTCCTCCCTGGATTTACTGAAGTTTAAAATCTTCCAATTTTGTAGGAAGTGCAGAGTTGCGGATGGAGTTGAACTCAAAGGGGAGCTTGTTTTTCCTGTGCTTCTACCAGCTTTCTTCTTCTGCCTCACATTTATCAGAAAAAGCTTAATTTTTATGCTTCCTGAGACTTGTATCTCTTCACAGAACTAAAGTTTGTCGTATTTTGGTTTTTTCCCTAACTAATCTTGGGCTCTTTCTCTTTATTACTTACTATAGAGTGATTTTGGGCTCTTGCAGAAACCAGTGTGGTCCCATCAATTTGAAGTGCTTCGTTCCTTCTGTATAAGCCCACCTCTGCCCTCTGTGGTGGTTTTTTTTATACTTTGCAGTAGCTTCCACTTGCGCGTGTTTATATACTGAAGAGGCAATTGTGTTTGGGTCTTAAAATAAGTGAACTTGTATTTAAGGAGAAAATCTCCACAGCTGAATGTTTGATAACTATTTAACATGGGATTCTGGTTTTATGAAGGGTGGGAATGGGATACAGCAGCGATGTGCTCTAAATGAGGTTTTGAAGTATTTATTGGCAAGTCTGTCAACTGCAGAGTATTTCAGCAAATACAGCCACTACGATTTCAAAAGGTCAAATTCCATGGTTTAAAGGTCTTTGAAGATCGATTTAGCTCAATTATGAGGAGGAGTTGTGGTCAATTTGATACCCATACTAATTTTAGGAATTCAAGTTATTTATTAGGTTATGTAATAAGCCAAAAGATTTGTCAAGGATTCAGAGTAATTGGTATGACTTGAGACAATCAAATACAGCTTTAATATACCTAAACATTTTAGGTTTGTTGCTGTGCCCATTGCTACATTGCCTGTGTGACATGTTAAGATAATGAAGACATTTCCAGATGACTTAACTGCATAAAAAGCTCTGTCTTCACAAGGGCTGGTGCCAAAATTGAGAAACTTCACAATTTAGACATGAAATTAAAATGATATCCCAATCATAAGCTGGTGATACTTTACCCAGCTAGTAATGAATGCCTGGCTTAGCAATCGGAAAGGCATTTTGTAAGTCGTGTTCCAAACCGCATCTGTCTCTGAAGAGACTGATCATAGTTGGCTGATTTTGAGTAATAAGGTTTAAAAAAAAAAAAAAAAAACAA